GAAGAAGCCACGTCGTCGATATTTCCAATATCGCCAGTGAGCTTTCCCCGTAGGCGTCAGGATTTTCTGTGGCAAGATGATTAGTTCGTTCCACGTAATTAGAACTCGCTCAAAACACCTCTCGGCCGTGCCTTGTACCGGCCCCGTGTCATGCGGATCACACCCGCAAATTAGGACTGAGAGTTTCCATTCAAATGAGAAATCGTTCCCAATGAGAATTGACACTTTTCAAAGAGGTTCGACACGTCTGAAATATTATTCTCCTTAGGCGATAATCACTCTTGGAAGCGGAATTGCCGAGCAGTCTCCTTGTGCGTTCGAATCTCTCGGGATCCGTAGTCTGACGTGACCGAGATCCGAGAAGAATTACAGTGGATTGATACTGGCAGAGGAAGAAGTAGGAACATCTAGCATGACGCCATGTACGACTATAGTTTATTATTATTCGACTTTATTATACGACTCAAAATTAGAGTCAATCAGAGGAAAATGAGTGATCGCACTCATCATTCACAAGTCCGATATCGGATGTCTTGAGCGTCAGCAGATCCCGAACCGCAAAACGGGTTTATCCTTAATCGACACGATTTCAAATACACGCATTCCCCAAGTGATCTTCCGTGATATCCCGTTATTCAGTGAGGATCAGTGTGGCTATGCTCGCCGCATGAGTTGAAGTCGGACGCTCCTTTCTTCTGTCGTCCGGATGAAGATATACTTAACTGCGAGATATACATATTCTTGAGCCTCTCGGCTTCAAGGATCGTCACGAATACACAATCACGTGAACTCTTGTATACATGATCAGCTCCTGAAACAATCTCGGCGGCCCTCGCATTTATGGTGGATCATCATGTATCGTTCAATGTTCGGAAACGGTGATCCTTTTCTCTACCGGTAGCTCGCTGATCTGGGAATCTGACACCACGAAACTCAGTAGCAATGAGCCGCGCTACGGTCGATAAGGAAATTCCGAACGCGACGAAGCGGGAATCTTATCCGAAGATAAGAACGACTGACGAATGAGTTCACAAGAAAATGAAGCGCGGACTCGATTATGCTTTCAGGGAAAAATCTGTCAATATCAAGTTCTCCTCCTCGGTCTCTCCTGAATGGTTCATACGATGTCTCGCTGCTTTTACAATCTGAAGGGGATCTCCCCTTCACAATCAATGGAACAGAGCTCTCACCGGCTCCAGACCGCGGATCTGGTCCCGCGATTTCGTGGCTCTCGATTATCTGCCTATCAGCTCGATTTAGCAAATCGGAAGACGGACACTGCTCTCCCCGAAGACGCGCTGGAATCAACAAACTTTTTCTCGGTCTGCGCGGAAGACGATTCCATGTCAAAACCTGAGCAGCGCAAGAGTCGACAGCTCTATCAATTATTACTATCCATCACATTTGCCCTAATCATAGCAGGTCCTCAGATCCTCTAGTGCAGGAATTATATTATATTGTGTCGGAAAACATTCAATTGCTCCTTTCGACTTGCGCGTTTCTTGGTAGAATATTTTCCACACACGGGTTGGACACGGCTCGCAAGGAAGCTCCCTGGTGTGCGAAATCAGCTCGGAAGCTAAGTACTTCCCTGCTCGCTTCAAAAGACGTCACCAGAAGCCGCTGGCGATAACTTCTAGATTTTGAGTGGCACGCGCATGATGAACCTGAAGCAAGGCAAGTTTCCCTGAGGGGCTCAGAATTAAACACGAGGAGCGGAGACTGCGGAAGAAAACTTGGAAAAAATGAAGGATAAAATACAGACACACACTGAGCAATGTAAACTCATAATCGGGTCGAGGGTCAGAGTCAGTAAGCTCTGAAATTCAGTGATTCGCTCAGCTCATAATCGGCTCAATTAATCATCAAATATTTCAACGAGTCTGGCCGCGATACACTCAGATATGAAGCCTGTCGACCAAGTCTCCTAGCGCTTTTTCAAAGCCATGGACGCTCGATTAAAATTGCTTTTTCTCCCATTCCGCCTACCGATTCGTAAACCTGATGGAGCTTCACGAAGAGTCGGATCAACCCGCAGTGTTTACCCGCCTGCAGAATATCGTCAAGAGTGATACAAGTGGCCGATTGCGGCTCGAACGTTCCTCAAGAGCTCACATTGTAGATTGGCTTAGTACAATAATTTGAATGGCGACGAAAATGGAGGGATCGTCGCATGATCCTGGTTCTACGGCAGTCCCCTCCTTCAGCCGAACTTCGCCGATACTATGAAATTGAATCAGCGTGCTATCCTGTCATAAGCATAGAATATTTTTCAATCTCACGATCATTGATCCGCCAGTTCATTTGCACGCAAGAGCCCCTATGCGGGAATCCCTGTGTGTGGGAGTGAAGGAATTCATTTTTCTTCAAGCGCAGATTCCTTTCGAAATCATCGTCTTATGAGGTCTACGGATCCCCAATCGCACCGCTGATGTACAGCCGCGCCGCGTCGTATCGTCTTAAGTGCCGATACTTGTCCGAGCCTATCGACAGTGGGCTTTGTTCCCGAGCCGAACACTCCACGGAAAATTGACCAAGTTTTCTGAAGATTTTCGACACCCAGTGAACCCGCCGACGAGGCACTCGGTGAAGCCGCCTGTAGCCTTTCTACGTGTCTGTCTGTGGATCCGACTCCCTTTCGCTCGCTTGATCGGTCAGTCGGTGTACGGATTGAGGCGAGATTTCATCTCTCAATTTCCATTCATTTTCGACCGGACGGGGAACTTCTCCTCCGCCGCTGCTGCTGCCGGGGTTTTTTGCCTTCCATTTTCTTTATTTTCTCCGTTCGTTCACTGGCTGCTTGGTCTACGTCGAGTATTAGGGCCAACAAAGTCGACTCTGACCCTGCTCTGATGCTGTTGTTTTTTTTCTGTTGTTGGTCTACACAATGTATCCAACAAAAGCCGAAGTGGTACGATTATTACCATTAAGGCAAAAAGCGAATCTGTGGCGGTCTAACGGCGGCGACTGAAAACAGCTCGGTGTCGGAGTCCAGCGGGATTCGAAGGAAAAAGATGAAAGAAAAGCTTTTGGCGCGGCGTGGGCGCTCATTCGGCGCTCATTGAAACTCCCCGGGCACCCTGTGCTCTACATCACGCCTTTTTTTTCGCCACGGCTCTGACTACTATCGTACAGTTGTCGAAACCACTTGTGGCGGCACCCTCATCAGAGCAACTCCAGCGGCGTTATAGAATCGATGTGACACACTTACGCAGAACCCTTCTCACGCGTTTTTTCCTCAGCGTTCGGGGAACGGATGAGCGAGGTCGCGAGCTCCGGGAGAATTTTCCGAATGAACGCCGAAGGAGTCAGAACTCACCGGAGCTACGAAAACAGGACGCCTCGCGAGTCTCCGAGTACCGGACGGGAGAGACGCGACGCTTTGTTCAGATCGAAACATCCACAGGATTGCCCAATCTTGGGAAGAGAAAGTGAGGACACCGTTGTTGGCGTCACTCAGCACTCATCAGGCAGTGACTGTACGTCAATGGACATGAGTGATGGTATCGTGTCATGTCGTCTCCTCGAGGCCTGACGCTCAGGGAGACACGTCCGTCGGATGAAAGACCACCTCCACGATTCCGTAGGAAGAAGATTACAGAGCAAAGTTTTAAGTATGATTGAGGGTGTTTCATCTGCGATTCGAGCTGGAGGACTGGCCTTGCGCCGTCCGGACCGCACGAGTTTCGTCAGATAGGGATCGGCTGTGGTCGTCAGTGATTCACGCCCCGGCTTGTTGAGATTCCCCTCAGCAATGCGTCGACATGCGTCTACCTGACAACTGTATGAATGCCAGCGACCGGCGCGATCTCCAGATCACAGAACTGGAACGGTAGCAACGGAGAAGTAGGGGGATCAAGCGAGGCTCGGAGGGTTGACGGAGTAGGGGGAGGGGGAGGGGGTACGAGGATTTCCTGAGCTTCGGTGGATCTCCGGAGTCATAACGAGTCTTGCCGACCCTGTACGGGGAGCCAGAAATCAGCGGAGATTCCTCCGTGAAAAAAAAGACGCACCAGTAAAAGAACAGACAGCTTTGAAGGGGGGAAGGAAGAAAACAAAATGATGCTCTAAAACGTTTGGAAAGTCGTAAGTGCTCTGGTTCCGACAATGTTGACACTTACTCACTGGCAGACCCTAGAACGCGAGAGTCGCTTGCCGTATTCTGCGGGACTAATATCTCTTCAGTCATCCCGTCTCCCGACCGCAGCGCGAACAACAACAACAGCGGCCTCGATGCTGAAATTCATCAAAAGAATGAACTTGTTGAAAGCTACCGGAATTCTTTGCGAAAACTCCCTGCAGCGATACGCGTGCATCCGCTTAGCTTCACGACTCTGGTAATGATTTCTGTTTGCCGAGCGAGAAACAGTGTAGTTGATGATGTAGACACAATTTTCCCGAGACTTGTGGATGATGAGCCGTTGGCGGACGTCACGCACGGTTCCGAAGAACCGTTCAATAGTCTCCCCCCCTCCAAGCCTCCTAAAATCAAATGGGAATCAACCTCCACACTATCGATGTAATCTACGATACATATTATGAATCTCCTCTACGCGCACCCGAGCGCCTGATTCCGACATCATGTGAAATCATCGCGGAAATTATTTATGCTGACCCTCCTCAATGATATCCTATAGTCGATTCAAGGAGGGTTCCGATTCGCGATCGATATTCCCTGCCTCAATTTCCTATCAATTCCCATACGGGATCACCAAAGCTGCTCCATAAGTCGGATTGATGGTGACCTCTTTTGCCGAGCCCTTATGCTTGATCACCGATTGAAATTATTCAGATTAAGAGACTTGCACATCGGATGGCTTTCGAATTATCCGTGAATGGATGCGAGATGATTCTCACGCTGGCCACGTTGAGCTCATGCACGCGCATTGATGACGTGTGTATTCCGCGATAGGTGAAGACGTGGACGACGCTGACATCGGCAGACGCTCGCGTGTTGATGTCTATGTGGTTGCTGTTTCCTGCTGACGACTTTGACCTTTGTGTTGGTATTCGATTCGATAACGCAAGATTCCAAATTAGAACAATACAGCGAATTCTCCCGTTTTGCGACTGTGTCTATTCGGAATTCTAGTCGGGGAGTCAAACATGACGAACAGAGAGATACTCCTTACACGTAGGCGATTCTCAAGTGAGTGGGGTCTGACGATGGAATCCGTGTTTCTTGGCTCCCCGCTTATCAGAGAATCGCTCATGGTGATTGCCACGCAAGTATTTCGGCAAGTGTACGTTGCTTTCAATTGAAGGATTGCTCCAGCTCGGGACAACGTGGTGGAAACCACGAGTGCCGACGAAAACGCTCCCATGGAGCCAGAAATCATTTGTCGGAGCAAATCGTTGTTCCTAGATCGATTGAGTTGGAAGGCCGGCTTCCGTATGACAGGGATGGATTCGGTGGCCACTCACCAGTACGTTCGCTCCGTGTATTCAGGCTGCGGCTTCTCGTGTGGTCGTTTGCGAAAGTTCATCAGTCCAGTATTTAGTTATTCACCAGAACGGCCATAAAGTTATAGTGATTCTGGAAGCTCTCGCGCTAATTTGTGCATGTAGTCAGGCGAATGTCAGTCGAAGATGATTCTGACCATCGGTTGCCAACTACTCGTACTCGGAGGAATTCGATCTACTCCGAGGACGAGCCGTCTGAGTATAGTGAGTATCGCTGACTAAGTGAGCGTCGCGTAATAGCGCGGATGTCTCTGCTCGTGGAATCGCGGTCTGATTGAGAAGATTCTTCCCTTGCCCGTAGATTTCCGCGACTCTCCCGTCCTCATCGACTCGAATTGTCACTCAACGGATATTAGTATTCATCATTCGAGTCATCTTGCCTATCCATGACTCATCCCTCTCCACACTCGTTTATTCACTGCTCGCTCGATCTATCAGTCAATGTGTCCGATCTCGGCCGGTCGAACAGCCGATATCGCTCGGGGTCGATCACTGCGAGAGGAAAATTTCAAGAGTTTTTATCTGCTTTTAATTGGAGCGTTCGCTCATGCATCGCTGACTTGAGAGGGAAGCTAAGGCGATCTTTTCAATTCCAGGGAAACGGATCTTGAGGGGTCCTTACTATAGAATCGAGATGGCAACTCCGGCTGCGGATCCCCGCGATTTTCTGTATAAGGTGCTGGTAATCGGTGAACTGGGAACGGGCAAGACCAGCATCATCCGCCGCTACGTTCACAAGGCCTATAGCGAGCATTACCGAGCCACGATCGGTGTAGACTTCGCGCTCAAAGTTATTCAGTGGGACGAGAATACAGTCGTCCGGCTACAGTTGTGGGACATCGCAGGTCAGCCACCGGGTACCCCCCCCCCCCCCCTCCCCCGTCCCCTCCCATCGATACGGGTGATATCGTTTGGAATCCTTGGGACTTCGGTCGGAATTCCCGGGAATAAGAATCTGTTTCGCTTGCAGGTCAAGAACGCTTCGGTAACATGACGAGAGTGTACTTCAAGGAGGCGGTCGGAGCTTTCATCGTCTTCGACGTCACGAGAGGCGCCACGTTCGAAGCCGTTCTAAAATGGAAGAACGATCTCGACGCTAAAGTGCATCTAGCGGATGGTTCTCCCATTCCTTGTGTTTTATTGGCGAACAAGTGAGTCTTCTCCGATGATGATTCTCTTGAGAGAGAAATGAATTGGTAGTGGTCCCCTATCCTGAATCTCCCTCGCTTGGGACGCCGACCATGACTCCTAGCCTACAATCATTCCGCAGATGCGATCTGGACAAGGGAGACGGAATCAGCC